AATGACAGATTTCTCTGAGTTTGGTAGGTATATAGACAGGTAGGACAGAAAGGACAGAAATGTTACATATTATAATTTTAACAACTTTTCAGTTCAGCTCCTTTTGCCACATTAGACTACGACAGAAAACTGTATCAGAGCTTTGAGTGATGACACTCACCAGCCACTGTTGGCCAGTGAAATGGAGATGGAGCTGAGAAGCAGATTGCATTTGGACTCGCTGATGATAGCTTCGCAGTTGGTTCCAGGGCTGATGACCACAAACTCTCGTATGCCGTACCTGCCACCACAGACACAGTTACAGCAGAACACATCAGCATCACATCTTTCATTATACATTGAATTTAAACATTTGTCTGATTTCCTGCGTAACTTATCTCTCTGTTACCTAGTTTTCTCTTTACATAAAAACAAAATGACTGTGCTCAACTCACCATCTGACCAGGCAGTGGGCTCGAGGAGGGAAGTCATTGTTCATGCACAGAAGGTCCTGCATTGCCAAGGGGAAGGCATCTGGACACAAGAGCAAGAGTTGTGTGAGACACTAATCATTGGAGGGATGACTTCTGAACGGGCATTCCTGTACCTGTTAACGTTTCCCTACTATTGTTCTTAACAACAGTCATCAGTTAACATCCACTACGCTTTATACCTTCTCTATAGAAAAGGAATATGCTGCCTTATAAAGTACACAAGAATACCCAATTATAAACATTAAGTTAAAATGCTAGTGTTAAAACATTGCTATTCATCATCAGGTAAATATTATGCCGCATTCAGACATGATTGTACCTTCCTCAACCTTGTCCCTTCCGTCATCCTTCTCACATTCTTGTTTCAGGAAGTGGTGAGTTATGTAGAATTTGAAGTCAGCAAAGTTGATATCCTGACACTTCTCCCCCCAGGTGCCACTGGTGTATTCTCCCTGTGTTTGAATAATGCAGCATCATTACAGAGTGAGCTGTTACAGAGCTGTTATTCAGCTGAATATTGGAGGCTCAATGAAAGCACAATACCTTCTCAGGGGACAACTTTCCTGCAGAGCTCCCGATCAGCTTCCAGTCATTCAGCACTTCCTCCACTCTGGACACAAACCTTCAGGTAGGCAAAAGCAGTTCTGCTGTCATACACAATATCCTACTATGGAATGTGCTGATAGCAAGGACAACAGCAATAGACATGAGCTAACTTAGAACTGAAAGAATTAGTCAGTTAAAGCTGCAGTAGGGCTAAGCTTCTTCTAAAAAGTAACTTTTTGTCAGTATTCAACTTTGAATCTTTCGACTAGTTATCCTGACAGTATGAAGCATCGGGCAGATAATCTGTGAAAAACAATCCAGCGTTCCTCCTAGAGCTCCTAATGGTATTTACAAGAATCCACCGGGGCTGAATATAATAGTTAGCTTTTTTTTTGGTATAATTCATGAAAAGGCAACTTGTTCCAGTGACAATAACATCAGTAGTAGTTAGGTGATGTATGGCTCAATGACTGCTATGATTGGTGAAACTCACAGGAAACTACAATGATTGGTCAAATTTGTGGAAAATTGTGGCGACTGGACAAACATGCAAGCTCACACAGAATTTGCAGGGTTAAGCTGAACTTGTGCCAGTTGTTGCAATCACAACTTCCTGGAGGGACTAATGACTACTCAAACATGCAATTACTTATTTTTACAACATGCCATTACCTTCTTCTGTAACCTGTCCAATATTCTATTTTAACTTAAATCACATCTGTATAAAAATATTGTATATATTGTATATATCTTGTATTTTTCTATTTTATTGTTTTATTTCATGTGTATTTCTTTTTTTTCTATATGCTATGTACTGTCTGAACAAGTACATTTCCCCAGTGTGGGATCAATAAAGTCTGTCTTATCTTATCTTTACATGAAGTAAAGGAAGTAACAGATGTACACATTTTGAAAAAATGTGAATAAAGACTTGTTTTATTTGGCATTTCACTGTTGAGATTTGATACAATTCACGGGGCTGTTAAGAATATTTGACTTCACTACTGTCACTGTATGCGAATCTCCATGAGAAATTAAACACAACTTCAGTAGACTCCATGCTCTTGCCATTTTGACACAGTTGCTCAGACATTGATCTGTCTTGGTTTAAGAAGTGATACTGGTGTAGTTCATTTTGGTTAGAGACGTCCTGATCAAGTTTTTGAGCCTCTGATGTGATCCGAGTCATTTAATATTGAATAACTGCCAATAGCGAGGCCCAAGATAATACAGGTGCACAGCACACACTTCAAGTACATTTAAGTTATTAAAATAAACCCAGTGTATATGCATGCATTACAATTGAATCGCTCTGCATCAATAGATAAAACCAATCATTTAAAAATGCCTTGATAAGCCCCGATACCAATCTCTGAGTTTGAATCCGGACATCCCTAATTTTGGCAGCTGTTACTGGTTTCTTTGATCAACCTTGCACTGTGCTCTACGTCATACAATAATGTGGCGATGGCTGTTTGGGAACCCTTGGCCTAAACACCTTCCTCATTATCAAACATACGTAAGCATTTAATCAGCATTTAGTGCTAACTGATCTAATGTTGGAGAGATTGGATTAAAACATAATAATGTATTCATTTGTGTTCAGATAACTGCGACTTGCTGTAGGCAGCTTCTGCCTGCTGTCTATGGCAGGCCCTTTTAACATGTATTCTGCCTAGTCGTAATTACATTGTGGCTAGTCAGACTTTTTATTCAAGATATCTATAACGTCATTGTGACTAGTCAAAACTACAGATAGAGATATCTGTAATTCAGTTTTGACTAGGCAGAATGAAAGTTAAAGATATCTCAAACGTCATTATGACATGGTCAAATTATTGTGCATGACGCTGCTCATGCAAGGCTTCCCACTGGATATTGTCCCAGCAAAGCATTTATTAACTGTGTTAGCAGAAGCAATGGCAGTTTCTGTTGTGGATAAAATACCATAACACTATGAACTGGTGTCAGTCTGACTGTATGAACTGG